CCTCATGCTCCTTCAGCTGTAGCGACTGCGTGCTGGATTGATGTGGAGTCAGAGGGGCAGAGTGAGACCCCTTTGCGTCAAAGCGGGTGAAGAAGATGTTTAATTCCTCCGCCAGTGAAGCATCTACGCTTACTTCTGGTGGACTGCCCTTGTAATTTGTTATGTTTTGTAAGCCCTGCCACACTTGCCTTGCATTTTTGTCTGCCAGTTGTTGCTCTACCTTCCCTTTATAGCCCCTTTTGGCTTGTTTAATTCCTCTTTTCAGGTTTGCCCTGGCCACGGCATACAGCTCCCGGTCTCCGGCCCTGAATGCAGAATCCCGGGCCCTGAGTAGAGTCCGCACTTTCCGCGTCATCCATGGCTTTACATTTTTGAACACTTTAATCTGTTTATCCACTGTGACATTGTCAGTGCAGGTCTTAATGTAAAATAAAACAGTCTCAGTGCGTTCATTTAAGTCCAAGTGATCAAAAATAGTCCAGTCCGTATTTTCAAAACAGTCCTGGAGCTGGCTGAGTGCATCTATGGGCCAGGTTTTGACAGTTTTCCTGACTGGTTTGGTTCTTATTCTGATGGGTCTATACGCTGGCACACTGAATAGTGAGATGTGATCAGACATTCCCAGATGAGGAAGGGGTATTGACCTATATGCACTCTTTAGGTTGGAATAGATCCTATCCAGTGTGTTTCTGCCCCTGGTGGGGCCTTTTACATATTGTGCAAACTTTGGGAAAACAGTTTTTAAACAAGCCTGATTAAAGTCCCCAGCCACAGTAATGGCACCCTCAGGGTACTGCATCTGCTGTCCGGATATTGTGTCGTGAAGTCTGGAAAGAGCTGTGTTTACGTTAGCAGTGGGGGGTATATACACAGCTGTAATTAGCACTACAGTTAGCTCTCTCGGTAGATAGAATGGCCTACAGATTACCGTCATCATCTCTAAATCGGGCGAACAGTAAGTGTTGATTACTCTACTGTTTGTACACCAGCCTTGATGAACAAAGACGCACAGGCCGCCTCCTTGCTTCTTTCCGGAGCTGTCATTTCTATCGAAGCGGTGCGTGGTTCGGCGCGTTAGCTGAATTGCCTCATCCGGTATGAGCGAATGTAGCCACGTCTCTGTTATTACAGACACGCTACAGTCCCCGGTGTAGCGCTTTTGTCTGACAACAGCAGCTCCATCTCGGCAATTTTGTTGACGATAGATCTAGCATTCGTCAGGAAGATGCTTGGCAGCGCTGGTCTGAGCGGCTGCTTCCTTAGCCTGGCTAGCAGGCCCGCTCTGCACCCTCGCTTTTGCCTCCGCTCTCTACGCCGCCTCCTAGTCCCGACAACAATCCACGGAGAGCCCGGTGGTCTGGCTATCGCTGGGGGTATATTCCACGTATCTCTGAAGTCCGCATTTATCGCGATTTCACTCGCAAGTCCAATGTTTTTTAACTCTGCACTGGTATATGTGTACAAGCCATTCACACACTTGATCACATTCGCACAAGACCACAAAAACATAACAAGAGACAAACTAAAACTAAAACCACGACGAGGGAGAGAGGTCCGGGCCGCTGCGCCCTCGCGCGCCGCCATCTTGCCATAATAGTGACCGGAAAATGTGTTTGCTTTAAGAATCACACACAATTTTTCAACCGTCCAATAATCTCTCAATGTACAGTGTTTTCAAAAGGCACGTGACTATTGTTCACTATTCATTGGCAGAAAGATACTTCTTCATTGACCTACATTAAACAAAATGTAAAACCATTCTTACGTATGTTTATTTAACCCTACAATAATTTGGAACACACAATTCCACAAAAATCTTTCAGTTGTGTGCCAAATTACCATATATTCTGCACTATAAAGTGCTTCAGATTATAAAGTGCACCTTCAATGAATGGCCTATTTCAAAACTGTTTTCATATATAGGGTGCACTATATCATTAGGAGCATGGAATAGAAGCTGTGGTTCATTATACATCCACTAGCTGGAGCTTCGCTAAAGTAAATACAATAAATACAGTTTTCTTTATATAGAGCCCTGGCTGCGGTTGTGCTATGCATCCACTAGATGGGGCTATACATACTACAGGGAATGCATTACTCAACTCAACTGTATTTATAGAGCACTTTCAAACAGCCATCGCTGCATAAAAAGTGCTGTACATGGAGCAAATTAACATATGCAACAAACAGTAAAGCAAATCGGTAATAAAAACAGTAGAATTACAATACAAATTCATTTATATAGAGCAGTGTTTTTCAAACTTTTGTGAGCCAAGACACACTTCTTTCATTGAAAAAATCTCGCGGCACACCACAAACTGAAACTGACTTGCTTTCCATCTAAACACAATTCAATGTGCTCATGGAAAATGTTAAATCACATTCATACAGTAAAGCCACATTGTAAAAGTAACAAGTCATTCACTCACTCACTCAGCACCAAGAGCAGCTGGGGGTTGTTTTGCTCAAAGAAACTTTGACAGGGCAATGGGGGAGCTGGGGATCAATTCCACAACCTTGGGGTTGAGAGACAACCCCTCTACCCTCTGAGCCATGCCACCCATTACATACAGAATTCAGGTTTCAAAAGGCAGATCATAAGACAATATATACAGTACTGGCTTACTTGCCAGTTAGAAGTTCATATATGAGGATTCCTAAAGACCAGCAGTCAGCTCCAAAGTCATGGCCTTTGTTCATTATGACCTCTGGTGCCACATACTCTGGGGTCCCACAGAAAGTCCAAGTCTTCTTTCCAAGACCAATCTTTTTTGCAAAACCGAAGTCTGCCTGTGGAAACCGAAAACAGAAAGCTTGTCAGTACTGAAAGAATTAAATATCATTTAAAATTTGAAATATTAACTTACCATTTTAACATAACCTTTTGCATCAAGTAGAAGGTTTTCAGGCTTGAGGTCTCGATATATGATACCCATGGTGTGAAGATAATCAAAAGCCTCTAAGACGCAACCTATGCAAAATCTGGCCGTGGGGTCATCAAAATAATTCCTTGGAGGGAAAGAAAAATCATGTTAAATACAAACAATTCTTCCACCTGCTTCTTAAAACCTGCACTTTGGGCCTTAACTGCGGATTCTTTGACTTGAGTATAGAGCTACAGTCCCTTATTGCAAAATCGCTTGCTTGATGACTGTTCCTGTGATATTATGGATTGGTTAGCCATGTCGGTGGGTTGAGAGGGATTGGGACAGGATTGTCCAAAAAAGAGAGCACAGAGAATGGGGGAGAACACTCACCATTTGCTAAAATATCCAGGAAAACTAAAGTCCGTGTTTTAAATGTAACACTAACTTAGTGTGAAACAGCATTGTCTCATCATCAACAAATATCAATATATCATAAAAGCTACTTATACAGCTATCCTTGCATTTTTTTCTGCAGTGTGGCAAAATTAGTCTGAAAATTATTTTGTTTTATTTCATGGTCTATATGACCAGTATTACTATCTATCCATCCATCCATTTTCCAATCCGCTTCATCCTCACAAAGGTCACGGGGTGTGCTGAAGTCTATCCCAGCTGTCTTCAAGCAGTTGGCGGGGTTCACCCTAAACTGGTTGACAGACAATGGCAGGGCACACATAGACAAACAACCATCCGCGCTCGCAATCCCACTTAGGGACAATTTAGAGTGTACAATCAGCCTCCCATGCATGTTTTTGGAATGTGGGAGGAAACCTGAGTACTCGGAGAAAACCCACGGAGGCACGGGCAGAACATGCAACTCCACACAGGAAGGCCGGACCAGAATCGAACCCTCCACCCTCCGAAGGTGTGTTACATTTGATTAAACAACAGCACCAATTTGACAGTCCAATTTAAAATCACTGTCCAGTCCAAGACCCAAGTTCGATCATGTTGGCCGAAAGTAACATTCAAGCGCCATCTGTTGCTTTGGCTAGCCAAACAGCATGATCCTTTTCACACACACAGGGACGCTACACACAATTGGTTTTGATGTTGTAACTTGAGTATCACCTATCTAGCTGTATGAAACTTTCTTGACATAGAAGTGTCTCGGATTGAAAAATGAATAGGATTTAGAGACTTACATGTCACGCAGCACCGTCCACAGCTCTCCACCAAGACACACCTCCAACAGCATGTAGATATGTTTATTGTCACGAAACGTCCGAAATAACCTAAAGTTAAGCATGAGTTTTCAATTTCAATTTGACACAATAAAATCTTTCTGTTATTTCATACCCATTTTTTAGTATTACATTCCTGACGTGGATGCAACAACAATATAAAATGAAAACAGAGTGAGCGAAGTGTGGGAAAAGTTCAAAGGTAGACCTACATTTTATCTGCCTGAGAGACTGCTTGCACAAGGCTTTTGTTCTACAATGTCATAGGCAAGATAAATTTCCGCGCAGTGGTGGGATCCTAGAGAGCAGCATTCTGCAGCACACTCCATAGCAACTCCAAAGAGAAGCCAGCCTGTAGAGCACTTCAGATATTCGCCTCTGCTTCAAGCAGTGTTTTCATTTTCATGCCTACTGTGCTCCTTCTCCATTGCACTTTCGTAAGTGTGCTCAAATGAATTTGAATGCTATGCATACATACAGGAACAGATTATGCCCCTTTCTCAAAGTTGTGCATAATTTGAAAAAAAAAAAAAAGCGGAAAGGTGGTCACCTGATGATGAATGCCGAGTTGGTTTGCTGAAGGATGTTCTTCTCAGAATAAACGTGTTCCTGCTGTCTGGTGTCGACAACATGCATCTTCTTGATGCATTTCAGAGCAAACGTTGTGTCCTCGCCTTTCAGCTTCACCTGAGACACAGTAATTAGGGTCAAAGAAAACTATTAACTTTGAGTTCACTAATTATTAACTCACAACATACTGTGAATTGTCGAAATCAGGGGTGCCCATTACGTCCATCGCGATCGACTAGTAGATCGCGGACGGGTCCCAAGTCGATAGCGAGGGGTGTAGAGGAGGGAAAAAAAACAAATGACCATTTGTGTGTCTTTGTGCTTTTAGTAATATATATTTTTTTGTTAATGTACACTGCACCCTAATCATCCTATAAGTCTCATTTTCACAAAAAGTATTACAAAAATAAAATAAAATAAAGCAGGTAAATCTTAAACTACGGTGGTGCGTGACCTGCGTTACCGGAAATTATTAGCGCTCAGCAGTCTGCAATTGCAGCTTGTGATCAGAGCTGTTGCGCTATATCTTTTGTCGTTGTCATTATTATCATTCAGAGTTTGTTTCATGTACAATTCACGGAGGGCTCGAGCAAAGAATAGGAATCTAGAGGGAGAGGGAAGCACTTTAAAATGGTACGTGTGAGCTATGATAGTTAACAGGCTGCAAAAGTGTGTCGCATGCCTCCGTGTCAGGCTGTTGCTCATCATGACGTGCGTGTGTATGTGCGTGCGCGTACGCGGTAACGGGTCGATCGCGGTAGGTTGGTTGATCGAAAAGTCGATCTTCAGTCCAAAAAGTTTGGGCACCCCTGGTCTACATCATTTAAGAGCTTCCATAGGAAGAGAATTACAGTGCGCAGATGTGTCAGAAATAACCAAGGAGAGCTCATATTTTGCATATTACTGTGTAGCTTTATACAGTACTACTATGGGCCATATTGCTTTCCGGCAGCGCAGATTTTACCAACATGTTTAGTTATTTACACTCCTTCATGACAGATAGAATCAGAATCTGAATCATCTATAATGGCCAAGTATGTAGAACACACACGGAATTTGTCTCTGGTAGTATACGTTACACTATTATTGCAATAACAAGCAACTATGATAAACAGAGACATGTCATATAAGTATTGAAAGCCTTTCCGTAATGGTACCATCATGCAGTAGTACCACCCAATGACAGTTGTGCAACAATGTGCAGAAATAACGTGATCAGTGGTGCAATACAATTCTACGATGGTTGTGCAGTTGGTGCGGATAAGCTTGGCACCATTTTTTTTAAGTGACCAGTAGCAGTAATTGTAGCACAACTTTCCAGTAGGATTTTCCGTGACCTTGTCTTGGTTCTACCGGTGTGCAAGTCTTCCGAGAGTGGGTAGGGTGGTGCCAATGATTTTTTTCCTAACTGTCCGTTGCAGTCGGATTTTGTTCTTTGTGGTGGCCCCTATTCAGTCAAAAATGTTGGACTGGATGGGACAACAGTCCACAGATTTTTACGCTGAGGGAATATGGAAGCTTATGCACAGATGGGAAAAGTGTGTGACAGTGCAGTGCTCTCTCTCTCTCTCTCTTACAGGTCTGCTGGCCTCCGCTCGTTCACTCACCTCCGTGAAGAGGTATGCCAGCATTTCTGCCTGTCACAAAAATAGAGCCCCTAATTGTTGCATGACAAAATAATGGAGGTAATAGGGAATTGGTTATTATTTTAAAATAACTGAGGTGATGAGTTCGACAACTCAAATATATACTGTGTGACGTGAGATTTCAGTAAAATATAGTTTACCAGCTCCACTCGTCCAAATCCTCCCATGCCCAGTGTCGCAATCACCTCCAACTGTTGGAAAGGCTGATTATGTGGTAAATGGACAATCCTCTCCTTCAACCTTCTCAGCTCTTGGGCTTCTGTAGAATCAATCTGTGGTGAATGCGGCCTGAAACAGGAATACCACAAATTATATTAGAATATTTTCCAACCCAGCCGCTGGGGGGCAGTGCCCTCCCCTGGGGGTGCACTGTTCCCCAGTGCCGGTCCCAAGCCCGGAGAAATGGGGAGGGTTGCGTCAGGAATGGCATCCGGCGTAAAACTTTTGCCAAGACGACCATGCGAGTTGGTAGGACGGTTTACAGGGGCGGATGGAAATTACTGACTCGCTGTGGCGACCCCTGAATAGGGATGTGCCGAAAGGAGAAGAAGAAGAAGAAGATATTAGAATATTTTCCAGAATGTATTGAAGAATTAGAATCCTGCGGTAGAATTAGAATGTGCGACACAGACCAGCAGCAGGGATATGAATATATTTGACAATCAGCTCGGTTGCCAATATGCATGTTTGTATGTGTTATTGTACTCACATGGCATTCCTTCTTTCATCACTCCTGGAAAGTTCTTCTACATATTCCTTCAGGTAAACCTGAAGTTCCTCATAGGTTCCCACCATCTGGTTAAAGTTGCTGGAGAGAGAACGAAAATTCTCACAAAAGTGTCGATATCTACAGCATGTGTTCCAAGACCAATCCATTTCAAGTACCAGGCTGGAACATTTCAAACCATTCAATCAATGAACGCCTTTTATAGTTTCGGCATTTCTCATGCTTAAAGGGAACGGTTTGGGATGTGTGCAAGGCAAGATTCGGGGGTGGGATGAAGTGGGGTAGGGGGGATTTTACTGTACAATGAAATTCGCACATGTGGGGCAGTCAAACTTGATTGGAATGTGTTGTCTTGACTGCATTGTCTTGTTAAAGGGCACGCATACATGACATGAATTAAAATGAATGCCATATTGTATCTTTCTGACTGTGTACATCTTTTCAACACCTGATATTCCGCCCCCTTCAATAATTCAACAGAGAAAGGAAGCAGGTACGCCCCTTGATCTTGGCATATCTAATTTTATTGACTGTATGAATTGCAGCTATATGCAGCATTTTTTTTGTACTTCAGGTGGTGAACATCATGTCACAGTGCCGAAATTTTAGGGTGTGTTTAATTAAAAAAGTAAAAAAGTGTGGAGACTGAAACATTGACTCACTCTCTGTCCACCACCAGACATTGTGTGTCATTCTCATTGCAGATGATGTTGGCCGAGCGGAGATCTTCACTGGAAAGATATGTCAACAAATTAGGATGAGATTATTTCGAGTTACCAAATAACCGAACCGACATTTTGCAGGAGAAAGACAGCGTATATCCACCTTTGAGGATAAGCCGACCTCTGTGATTTTTCTGCAATTTTCACATGGATGCAGTATTCTTAGTAGTGATGGGCAAAATAAACGCAGAAACTTCAAAGTGTGTGTGGCGTAATGAGTGCAGAGGTAAAGCAGAGCATGGATCGGTGACGTCCGAACCTTCCAGAAGCACCGTACGACGTGACTGATTCAGGAAGTGGATCGCTGGTTTGGCGGTGAGACACAGTGTCATTGCACCCATAAAAAGCGCAGCAAAACACGATGGGAGTTCCCCCACAGAGTTTGTGTCGTTTTCACTCCACTGGCTATATTTGCAAATATTTGGAAATTTTAACGATGGAACCAGAAAAAAGGAGGAAGAATGCCCCAGTTTGGGAGTTCTCTCGGAAAACCCATCTTCAAATATGTGACAGTGAATGGTGTAATTTAGCAAACTTGGCCGGTCCAAACATCGACAGACGCGAAGATCCATTGCAGTTGTGCCAATGGCAAAAACATCCATCCATCCATTCACTTTCTGATGCGCTTATCCTCACAAGGGTCGTGGGGCATGTTGGAGCCTATCCCACCCGTCTTCGGGCAGTAGGCGAGGTACACCCTGAACCAGTTGACAGCCAATCGCAGGGCACACACAGACGAACAACCATCCACGCTCACACTCACACCTAGGGACAATGTAGAGCAGGGGTCGGGAACCTACGGCTCGCGAGCCATATGTGGCTCTTTTGATGATTGCATCTGGCTCGCAGATAAAACAAAATATTCTCGCTTGTTTAATGCATCCATCAATTTTTTACTGCTGATTTCCTGTTCAGGGCTGCAGTTGGCTACAGGAGCAATTTTGATTGGATAATACTGGCCTGCGTTGGCCGTTGCTGCAGAAACAGGACAACGCCCCCTTTTGAATCAGCCCGCTCGGTCATTAGCTCAAAGCTAATCCTAAACGAATAAGATGGCGAAAAGAAAAAAAGATGACCAGTATGGTATACTTCAGGACGAATGGACCGAAGGATTCGTCTTTGTGGAGGGAACAGGTTCTGCAGTGTTTCTAATCTGCAATGACAAAATACCATCGATGAAACGGTTGAATGTAAAGCGGCACTTTGACACGCGCCATGCTTATGTTGGCATCAAAATACCCTGCGGGAGACACCAGAAAGTAGTGTGCAAGCTAGCCAGCAGCAACTCCGCATATGGACCACGTATGTTTTTGGAATGTGCGAGGAAACCGGAATTCCCCGAGAAAACCCACACAGGCAAGGGGAGAACATGCAAACTCCACACTGCGCGGCCCACATAATGTTGAGTATTATCACAAAATTATTTAAAAATACATTCATAGGCTTATTATACTGACAATTTGGTGAATTCACTTTTAAAATAGTTATTTATATATATATAAAACCTGCCACGTATGTTTTTGGAATGTGCGAGGAAACCGGAATTCCCCGAGAAAACCCACACAGGCAAGGGGAGAACATGCAAACTCCACACTGTGAGGCCGACATGCTAACCAGTCGACCACCTTATGCCGCCTCGAGCAAGAACACAATTTCCCAAATTTATTCCAACCGACTTTCATGTACCTTTCTACACCAGCATCAACAGTGCCCTGACAGAGATGTTTTTTCTAAAGCAGGAGAAATCCTCATTCAAAAACAGAATCGCCTCAGTCCAGCCATTTTGGAAAAACGTTTTATTTATTTATTTTTTTAAATAATAAGCAATGAAACATAGCGGCCGGTGATCGACTAGTTAGCGCGTTGGCCAGACACTGTCGAGGTGCAGGCTTCCATTCTGGCTGCGGCCTTCCTGTGTGGAGTTTACATATTCTCCCCATGCTTGCGAAGGTTTTCTCCGGGTACTCTGGCTTCCTTCGACATTCCAAAAGTATGCGTGGCAGGTTAATGGAACACTCTAAATTGTCCCTAGGTGTGAGTGTGAGTGCGGATGGTTGTTCTTCTCTGTGTGCCCTGCGATTGGCTGGCAACCAGTTCAGGATGTCCCCCGCCTACTGCCCCAAGACAGCTGCGATAGGCTCCAGCACGCTCCTCGACCCATGTGAGGATCAGCAGATCAGAACATGGATGGATGGATGAAACGTTACCTGTGGATGGCATGCAAAAGAATGATGGACGCAAACAAGTACTAAATGTGCTCACAAACCTGATGAGAGCTTTCTCACCAAAGTAGTCCCCAATTCCCAGGGTCTTGATTTGCTGAGGCTCAGCAAAACCTTCGGTGGTTTTTGTCACAATCACCTACAGATAGCCAACATGACAAGTTCCAAATCAGTGTTGGTCAGCTTGTGGAAAAACTAACATTTGTGGTCTAAATTGGGATTGATCAGAGAATGAAATTAATCATCTTTTGCTTTTTAAACATCTTGATTGTAATGCCTGCTCTATTCTCAAATGGCTCTCGGGGCACTTTGTCTGATTTTAAAATTATTTAAGAAAACTTAGGGAAAACCCATTGTGAGACAAGTAAAGGTTTTCATTTCTTATCTTATCAATCTTTTAAATATGAAGGACCTTCAATTTAATAGTTTAGTTTGTTTTAACCAAATTAGAAGTTACACACGCACACACAATTCACGGTGGACTTTATATCAAACTGTTTATTTTCTTGGTTCTCCTTGCTCTGAATGTCTTGTGCTGGTTTGGTACCACGGCGTGTCCGGAGCTATGGCAACACAGAGGCAGCTTTGTCTCTTCAATTTTCAGGAGCCTGTCGCTTCGCAGTGGCTGAGTGTCCAAGCAAGTTGCTGAACGATCCCAAAGGACGCACGAAAACAGATAAGAAAGCCAACTACAACACCATTTTCATCTGTGTTGAATGCAACGGGAAAAGGAAAAATGAAAAGTTTGGGGCAGCGGCTTTGAAAATGCCCGCTGGGCACGTGGTCAAGTAGATCGCCGCAGGAAGAAAGCGGGTGGGTATGATAGTGGTCACCTTCATAGTTGAGCATACGGAAATTCATGGCCACAGCCCTTCATATCGTATTCCAAGGCGGACTCCTCTTTTCTTTGTGTGATTTTCATGGGTAAACCTTTGAGAAGCAAAACTTTCATGCACCTTGTTTTGACCACCTGAGGCCTGTTATATCGATGATTGGCACCGATTACATCATGGCGTTGAGCGATTGTTGTCATTTTTGCAATGTAAATATGTGGATAACGGCCGTCTTAAACGACACAACATTGATTTGTGAATTGTCAACCAAGAAAGGTTTTCGTCACGGCCGCATATCCCACCCCCAAGCGGCTTGCTGCAAAACAAGATGAATTTACGAGTTTTTGTGATTTCACACATACCGCGAGTATTAAGTGTGCTGGCAATGTTCTAGGCTAATGAGGTGTCGGCGAATTTCTCCCGGGGACATGCTAAACTCATTACTGGCTAATGTTCATTGGAAATGTAGACAGTTCTGTTCACTGAACGAGGGAAGTTTCCTCCCCCTGGGGGTGAAAGCTGGTGCAGATTTGCTTTCAATCTTCCATGAAAGTGTGGGATTTTTAAACCCAGTTTCTGTAGCGTGTGTTCTAAAAAAGGGTTGGGGGGCGGAGATTAGAAAAGGAGTTTGGCTGTGTGTTGTTGGGGTCATATCTATTGCATATTCAACAATAGATGTGTGAGGATCAAATCTATTGACAAAAAGAGTAAATTAAATCCGGAGAAATGTAGAAAATGCTGAGAAAATGTATCTCGCTGAAAGTGCTGAAAGCACCTTGCATACTTGTGGGGGATACTCATTCCCATTGGGACATTCAATTGCTCTTTGTTTGCAACCGTTTCGATCAGGGGTCGGGATCCTACGGCTCACGAGCCAGGTGAGGCTCTTTTGATGATTGCATCTGGCTCGCAGATAAAACAAAATATTCTTGCTTGTTTAATCCATTCATCGATTTTTCACTGCTCATGTCCTGTTCAGGGCTGCAGTTGGCGGCAGGAGCAATTTTAATTGGATGACACTGGCCTACATTGGCCGTTGCTGGGTAAACAGGTAAACACCCCCTTTTGAATCAGCCCCGCTCGGTCATTAGTTCAAAGCTAATCCTTCGACGAATAAGATGGCGAAAAGAAAAAAAGATGATGAGTATGGTACACTTCAGGAAGAATGGAGGGAACCGATTCTGTGGTGTGTCTAATTTGCAATGACAAAATACCATCGATGAAACGGTCGAATGGAAAGCGGCACTTTGACACGCGCCATGCTATGTTGGCATCAAAATACCCTGTGGGAGACAGCAGAAAGGAAGCATATGGACCCGGCAAGGTGACTATAATTCCGGAAGTGTCGATGGATCTTTCACTTTCACCATTCACTTTAATGGTGAGTATTATCACAAAATTATTTAAAATAATGCATTCAGAGGCTTATTATCTGACATTTTGCTTTTAAAATAGTTTATATATACATATACATGAGCGAAACACAGAAGGGCATTGGTAGAGATACCAGAGGAGCCAAACATCAGCTCCTGGTTGACAGAACAGTCGCACAAGACTGCAGGTCCCGACATACCAACCTGTGCACAGCCTGGATTGATTACAAGAAAGCCTATGACTCAATGCCACATACATGGATCACTGAATGCTTGGAGTTGTATAAGGTGAACAGGACCCTAAGAGCCTTTGTTGCGAACTCGATGAGGATGTGGAAAACCACACTTGAAGCCAATGGCAAGCCACTTCCCCAAGTCTCCATCAAATGTGGCATATACCAAGGTGATGCACTCTCCCCACTGCTGTTCTGCATAGGACTGAACCCCCTAAGCCAAGTAATCACCAAGACAGGCTATGGATACCGCCTCAGAAATGGAGCTACGATCAGTCACCTCCTCTACATGGATGACATAAAGCTGTATGCTAAGAGCGAAAGGGACATAGACTCCCTGATCCACACAACCAGGATCTGCAGCAGCGACATCGGGATGTCATTCGGGCTTGAGAAATGTAGTCGGATGGTGACTAAGAGAGGAAAGGTAGTCCGCACTGAAGGGGTCTCACTCCCTGAAGGAACAATAGCAGACATTGAGGACAGCTACAAGTACCTCGGTATACCACAAGCAAATGGCAACCTCGAACGATATATATACACGGTGTGTATATATATATATATACACACACACACAGTATATAGGATTTTTTTTTTTTTTTTTTAAATATAAAAACAAAAAAAAATCCTCGTCTCACCCCTCGGGGGGGGTCCATCCCCCCTTCATCCCGGGTCCTCTACCAGAGGC